CTCTCTCTCTCTCTCTCTCTCTCTCTCTCTCTCTCTCTCTCTCTCTCTCTCTCTCTCTCTCTCTCTCTCTCTCTCTCTATTTATTTATTGCTATTATTTAAAAGATAGTATTATACTTTACATTGTACTGTACATTAATATAATAGATAGAGAGAGAGAGAGAGAGAGAGAGAGCGTACGCTGCGAAGAACATCAAGAAAAACCATGATGCTGGAAGGGCCAGAATTAATAAAAGCTCTTCTAAGTATGAACTCTCAAATAGCCGACAAAACAGACTTAAAATGATGAGAAGATTTGATGATAAGAATATGATTTGAGGAAGTTTTGAGTTCTGCATAAATTGTCAACAATTTGTTAATAAAAGTATTAATAAACTATATTTAATCAAATACTCACCAAATTCTTTAAAATATTTAACTTTTTCTTATTTGTAAACTCTTTTATATGTGTCAACACATATCGACTACAACTTATTATTGATATAATTTCAGATGTTATTCGTATCTATTATATAAATAGTATAATTTTTAATTAGTTTTTTAATTTATATGTTTAAAATCAATCAACAATTTATGAACAAAAACTGACCACTTTTTTCACGTTTGATTCACAAATTGGTAAATCGTGTTTTGATGGACGCAAATAAATGGCAATACTTATAATTAGTAAATGAAACAACGCTTGAAAAATTCTTCGTAGAAATAATTTCTGAAAAATATTTAAAATGTAAAATAAAATTCATAAAAATAAACAAATTGAATACATGTCCAAATGTTTTCCATTTCTCTTCCAGAAGCTTTTGAATCACTCCTCCCTTCAACATATCCAAGTGTTGACTATTATTACCCTCAAGAATTATATTTAATGCTGAACGACCATGTTCTGGAGTAAGTATCACAACATTAGTAATTAGTTTTTAATATCTCTATTATTGTTAATAATTGTCAAAATGTGATAACCGGTGTCCGCGCTTTCCATTTGCATTGAATCGACAACATTTAGAGGATAACCACAACACGTTACTATATTATAGGTCCAAAATTCCTACAATCATACAATTTTGAAAAATATTCTCATTAATATATTGTATTTTTAAAAACTTGATAATAAATTGACAAATACCTGACAACTTAATTCAATAATTTCCCGAAATATAATAGATTTTCCTAAAACACACGCCAAAGCCAATGGCGTTAACCCATAATTATTGGTCATATCATTAACAGCCGGTTTCTCGGAATGTTTTAACGCAAAACCAAAAATATTCTACATTTTAAAGAACATAATGTTTAAGTAAATTAAATACAAAAATAAAATGATTTAAAATACCAATTTTTCCCGGGCAACGATCACATGTAAAACCATATTCCCGAAAGTGTCCACTAAGTTAGGGTCGGCTCCATAACTGATTAATGTATTGTATATTCTCTTGTTATCAATACTCGCCGCCCATGAGAGTGGATATTCACCAAAATATTGTGACTCTAATACAATGAACCAAAAATACAAACAATTTGTAAGAATTTTAGCCCAAATATAATTATAAAGTATAAACCATTAAACTGTGGCATCTTTTTTGTAATGTCGTATTTTTTTGGTATAAAGAAATCTCCGACAGCTCTTTGATGAACGTTTGCTTTGCATTCGAGCAGTAAATCGACTAAATCTTCGTTTCGATATATTATTGCCAAATGAAGACCCGATACACCTTTAAAACAATCACATTCATTACACTCGTGGCAAACATTGTATTTTCAATATTATAAAATATCTATCAAGTAAATTCAAAACTTTGACTATATATAACAATATTTAAATAAATTGTAAGATAATTCTTAATAAATATATTATTAAAATTATTAAAATTAATTTATAATATGAATAATATATGAATAAATACATTATAAATAAGAATATTGTTTAATTTACCGAAATATTCAATCTCTTCAAAAATATCATTCGCCAAATTTGGATATAATATAAGAATTTGTTTTGCAATCAAAGAATGCATTTTATTGTTATTTATAAGAAGAATATGTAGTATTGATTCTCCATATAAACCCCTTAAATGCAATTTCCAACAAACTTTTCTAGTTATTTGCTGTAAAATATTACAAATATTTCAATTTAAAAATTCAATTGTTATCAAAATTCAAGTCTTACATCCATTGGCTTGAAATCAGAATTTTCCGATATATTGCATAAAATATGTGAAGAGTTAGAAATGTCAAACTCTTTTCCAAAGCCGTTTTGATACATATTATTGCGAAATTCTTTGCTCTTAAGGACAGCGATGAGAGCCTGTTGTCCCTCTTTGGCCAATATATCCAACAAAAGTCCTCCGCTTTCGTAATTCACTAACGAATATATGAATAAATTGTTTGCCAAAGAATTGTCATTATTTGAAACTTTATTCAATATGAATGGCATTTTGGAAATGAATTAAATGCTATGTTTTTAAAACAATTTAAAGAATTTAATCATAATTGAAACATGAATTCACGAATAATTAACGTAAATATTTATCTACAAAAACACATATTATACTAAATAATTAAGTCGTTGAACACAAATATAACACTTCTGTGGATGACATTGAATAACACTTGTCGTTGCCATAGAATTCTGTAATAAAATTATTATTGATTGGCGTTAACCCACAATTGAATGGACAAAAAATCGCCTACAACTCCAATTCCTTATAACACACACAAAAAACAATGTAAATTCCGGATATATGTTATATAAAACAAAGTAATTTTAACTTTTATTGTTAATGCATTTCATTAATTATGTTTTCAAATTTACAGCAAAAGTATTTCGCGTTTCTTTCAAAAAAGTAAACTTTTAAATGTTTTAAAATATAATTTTTATGGATTTTAATTATATGATTGTTGTCTAAGGGTTGCAAATATATAATATGATTAATTGATGAATGAATTATTCTTATATAAGAAAATTTAAAAATGAACAAAAAAACTGTAAACCAAACTATTTATATAAATTTAAACATATAAGTGATTAAAAGAGAGCCATAAAAGCGCTGAGACCTCCCATTTCTGCTGTATTATTGGCGCTTGAATTTTGACTGGAATTGCGTTCCGTTTGATTGTTAGATACATAACCAGTCGATGGAATCGATTGGATAACAACACGAGCCGAAGTGTTGGCGTTATTTGTACTGTTTCTCTGATGTTCAACAATACGATCGACGACTGATTGGTCGACCGAATCGTAAGTAACGCTTGGAATTGTCGATTGAATGACAACTCTGGCCGGCGATACCGTCACTTCACCAGAAGAGTACTCATAGATAAGACTCGCAGTCGCTGTACATAATTCCTGGTCCGAGAGTTGGCTCTGAGAGACGTGTATATCTTGAGGAGAGGAAACGATAGCCACTTGAGAGGCAATCGAGTTATCGTTGTCTTCGAGCGTTTCTGTAATATAAGTGAACTGTTGACCCGTCTGTCGGCGCGGTTTTCGCTGTTTATATGCAGTTTTAGGCGTTTGGTCTCCGGTGTGGTGTTTGAGGACATGTTCTTTGAGTTTGTCTCTCCGAGTGCTGCCGTATTCGCATTGTTGGCATTTAAATGGCTTCTCATCCAAATGGATGCGCTCGTGTCTAATCAAATGACTCTTCTCTATGAAAGCTCTGCCACACGTCGAGCAGATATGGGTCCGAATCGAGAGGTGACTCCTGGTGTGCGCCGCCAACTGAGACCTACGCGGAGAAGAATACGTACAACCAGTTTGATCGCAATGGAAGACATTTCCCGTATGAATGCGTTTATGGGAGAGAAGGTGTGACTGATATTTAGTGGTAAACCCACAGCTGTCGCACAGAAAAGGCCTTTCCTCCCGATGTGTCGCCAAATGTTGGTCTAAAGTATTTTTCATAGCAAACGCGCGGTGACAGTGAGTACACTGGTATGGCTTCTCTCCCGTATGTATTCTCATGTGGACAATGAGATTGCCTTTCGTTCGGGACTTGAATGGACACAATTCGCAATTATATGGTCTCTCATCCGTATGTCTCATACGATGGGATAAAATAAATTGAATTCTATCACAACTGTATTCACAGTCTTCGCACTTATAGGGCGGGCCATCGAAATGGGATTTCATGTGTTTATAAAACTCTCGATTCCATTTGCAAACAAATGGACACATTTTGCACTGATAGGTCGTGTCCTCCTCGTGAACGCGAGATAAGTGCTGTTCGAGTCGAGTGGCGCTGTGGCCGACATATATACAGTGCGGACACTTCACACCATCTTTCCATTGACCCAATGATAACGACGACTCGTCCTTATCTTCACGTTTAATGCGTCTCTTCGGCGATAAATCATTGCCTTCGTTAAGGTCTTCGGAATCAGAATAGTTTTCATCGCTTTTCAACTCTTCTTCGTCGTCGACCGCTTCGTCCAAATTTGATTCATTTTCATCCTCTCTATCACTCGATTTCTTGTGTCGACTCCTGTTATTCAACACTTTCACGCTCTGACTGTCACCACAATTGGTTTTCTTCTTGGAAACGGAAGAATAGACAAACCATTCATTTTTTGGATATCTTTGCTTAACATTTCGTTTACGATTTCTTGAACTCAAACTATTGTCCGTTAATTCGCTTGAATTACAATTTTCTGCTTTTCGTCGATTCATTGGTTTTCGCTTTCTTTCAATAATTTCTATCAAAATAAATTAAATTTAATATAAAATCACTTTTTTGAATATAAAATGGCATACTTTTGGATCCTCTGGTCGATTGCTGTCTTTGGTTTTGTACTTTGCCCTTATGTTTGGTGTTGGGCTCAGAATCAATGGGTTCGACAACAATAGGACTGTTGGGAGTGATGTCTTGTTCGTCGTCGGGAACAATGAGTTCGTTCTCAGTCTCGTTATCAGAGGCGAGCGATCGACAATTTTTGGCAAACAATTTACTCATCTCTTTATAAGAGTCTAAATATCTGTCGATATTTATATTGTTTTGATGCAAAGACTTGAGGGCCACGTAAAGGGAGAATCGGTTCTCGCGATAAAGTACTTCAGTGTCGATGTGATCGTAAATGAACTCGAGTTTCATTTTATGCCATTCAATGAGCGCCAGGAAGTGCTCCAACTCTGCGCTTCTTCTGTCGATGTCTTTCTTAACCCATGAAATAAAGAAAGTCAAGAGTTGTGACACCGGAAGACTCGCCAAACCGATCGTCGGGTCCCTAATAATAGACTCCAACTTTTTGGCCGTCATTTCGCTCATAAACGGCTGTTCAATGATTTCGCTGGAGTTGTCGGCAATGAAGTCATTGCATGTGTGGACCAATGTATCCAAACTGTACTTCTGGGCCAAATCGCGGACAGCGATGCAGTTGTCGACCGAGAGGTAGTGTTCGAGGAATTGGTGGCAATATGTGTTCACTTTGGCCATCAGGAAGTAATTGCTAAGTTTGAGCAATTCGTTGACATTATGCCAATCGATGGTAATGTTTCCCGAATACATGTAATCCAAGAGCGTCTCAAACACGTCCACGTCGTGACACCCGATGTTGATCTGCTCTTTGGTCACGCGATGGGTCTTCAGTACGGACTCGAAGTACTGACTACAGGCGGCCAGTAGTGAGCGGTGGGCGGGAAAGCGCCGTTCGGCCAGTGATCCGGACGTCACGTGGAGTACGATATCGCAGAACCGGCCGTCTCTTCGTTGGCCTCTAAGCATCTCAAGGATGTTATTTCCCGACGGATTCTCATCGAAGTTCATCGACTTGTCCGCCAACACCGACGACAACACCATCGCTAACACAGACACAGACACTGCCCGCAGTTATAGTCACTGATCAACGGCTCTCACGTACGGCTCATTCAGCGCTTCGATGCGGCCATTCATTGGTCAGCGATTGTAATGGCATTGAAAACACAGTCACTGTTAACGCGATTTAATGTCAATTCAATGATCAAAACAATAGTAAATGTAGTGTTGATTAATGTCTCCACTTTTGTCCACAACTCGACTCATAGGTGCGTTGTGTTCGCAATGGGCCGACGCATGCGCTGTGCTGTGAATGCATGCTTTATGTAGAGGTAGTGTTATTAATACAGTAAAGAGAGTGTGTAATACTGTAATACTGTTTGTACTGTCAGTACAGTTACTCTCTCTCAGTATGTGTTGTATTGAGTGATTAGTATTGACTTTCGGATCGATAAGTGAGAGCAGAGATCGTGTGATGAGTAGTGAAGACAAAATGATGGCCACTATTATGACTACCGGTTGGCCACTCGTTGTCGCACTTCTCGCGGTGATGACCGACGCGTCGGTGCAGCTGTCCATTGATCCATACGAAGTGCGAACACTGGCCCTCAGGTTCGGCAAAGACATCTACGAGGGAAGCGCTGAGTCGACGTGTGTCCGCAAAATCACGTCCAACTTCGAGGACATGAAGGCTCGGGTCGTGTGGTTTGACTCCAACAAAATGATGGAAGACATGAGGAATGATGTGATGAATACATTGAATTGGAAGAAACACGCCGTCGAGACCATCGCCAACGAGAGTCAACGCTTGGCCGCTAACCATACTTTCGGTAAGTGTGTCACCGCTCACGCCATCACACCATCAGTCACGCACTCATGCATTACATGTGCTCTTCAGACAAGAACATGGAATTGGATTACCTGAATATGAAGCGCCTGTACGACGACCGCGACGGCGAGGTTCCGGCGCATCATAACGACGACGGGGTTGAGTGGAAGTCCATCAAATTGAGTCCTCACCCCAACTTCGAGGGCGCGAACGTGAACCTCGACAAGAGCGCCGTTCACGTGCCCATCAATGTCTACGAGAGGGCTCACGATATTGTCAATGACATCAAATGGTCGGAGGCGTTGACGCAGTCGTTCAAGAATAATCTGGCCTTTGATCCCGGGCTCTCGTGGCAGTTCTTCGGCTCCAGCAGAGGCTTTCTTAGACTATATCCCGGTATTATATCCTACTTTTTTGCATTCATTTTGACTTGTTTTTAAACAATGTGTGATTACAACTTAATTCTGTTGATATTCTGTACAGAATATTCTGTGTTTTATATAATCAAGTATAAGACACGAAATGAATGCAATTAAGATAAATGCAAATTAAAAATAAGTAAATTGTTTAGCTATTTGCTAATTATACATGAATTGGAGGTTTAAAAAGTTATAATTTGTTGATTTTAATTGCAAAACATAATTAACTACAATTAATGCATGCATTTCTGCCATTAAGTGGAAGCCATGCGTTAATCTATATTGTCAAACATATAAAGCATTTGTTATACATTTATTCATACTTACAATACTATGCATTGCTATGAATTGAATAATATTGACAACAATTTGAATCCATTAGCGACTCAATGGAAGAATGAAATCGAATTCCTTGAGTTAGACACTCCTCCTCCAGACCTATACGACTGTCGTTTGAGGCCGTGGTATGCATTGCATGACAATCTCATTGTATACACTGTTAATGGCGTGCAAACTGATGACCCGATGCATAGGTACATCCAGGGCGCCGCTTCACCCAAGGATGTGATCATTCTTCTGGACAGCAGCGGATCGATGACAGGATTGCGTAATAGTATCGCCAAAAACGTGATTTCAACCATTTTGGACACTTTGACAGACGATGATTACGTGTCTGTCATGAGGTTCTCGGACACCGTTGACTACATTAACAAATGCTTCGATAACTTAGTTCTCGCGAATGAGAAGAATATTAGACAACTGAAGGAAGACGTGGCCAATGTTCGGCCGACAGAAGTGGCCAACTTCACCGCCGCACTCACCCGAGCCTTCGATATTCTTCAAACCGTGAGTCCAACACTTCTCAACCTTTTCTATCCAATCAATGCAATCATTGTTTGTCTAATTATTTATTAAATCTTTAATGAAGTTTAAACTTTAAAGCATTTAAGATCAATACAGTGAAACCTCTCTTAGGGAAACACCTCCTCATAAGAAACGAGTTTGAAATATTTGTAGGAATTCCTATACTTATAAATTATAATAAGTTATAATGCAATTTCTCTTAAGGAAACCTCTACAAGAAATACTTCTCTATTAAATTTAGAAACCAAGTTATGGAAATTTAGACAAAATTAGCACTTTATAAGAAACTAGCAAACAGAAACTGAAACCGTTAATTATTATCATTAAAGCTGTTCAGAATATGTATTTATTCTTGGTCAAATATTTTATATAATATTTATTTTAAATGGTCAAATATTTGCTTATATATTTACTAAAAAGGGGTCAAATATTTACTTAAATATTTATTTATAAATTTCAATATCCTTAATAAATCCTAATTAGTGTATTCTATGGACAAAATAAGGAAATATTATGCTATAAATGTTAAATATCCTTTTAAATCCTATTTAAATAATGTTACTTAAAGCCATAATATTTATTTAAATTATATCAATTGTTTACAAGTCAAACTAATAATATACTATCCCACCATTATGTATTACATAATGTCATACAAGTATTTATTATTATTTTTATTAATTATTAACAAACTTTTAGAAATTATTTTGCCATTTAGACATTTTAAGCCATGGATTTCAAGTAAATTAATGATTTTTATGCTTTATGACCAAATATTTATTTATATTTATTTATAAGTCAAATATGTATTTATATGTAAAATTCGTTTGCCCCCGAAGTCCCAAGCATATATCTTTAACCGGGAAATATATTTAAAAACATATTCTGAACAGCTTTAATTATCATAGAAACCTTTTAATAACAAAATAACAAATATAATATGATTATGATGTTTAGCGTGTGCATAAACGAACCTCCCTTGGAGAAACTCTCCCTATCAGAAACACTTGCCGTGCAACTGGCCGTTTCTTATAGAGAGGTTGCACTGTATACGAAAATTAGTTGACTATTTGAACATTTACAATAATTGTAATTTTACAATAATAACTTACTAAAATCTTATATGCTGCCTATATGGTTTAATTTTTACCGGTACTTAATTTTACCAGTGCTTACATGTATGCTTTATTTTTTTGCTGATGCGAGTTAAGTTATTGGTGCGGATGCGAAATATGTGGGGTCTTTACGGTATTTAAAATTATGTTTTGATTGTATTTAAGGATTATTAATTTGTCATAATTCCCATTTACATTAAATACATCAAATGTTGTTAAATGAACATGATGTAGCAAAATGACTTAACTAAAAGCTTTGGAGCCGTAATGTTAAACAATGCATTCGTTGCCCCGAAAGTTAGTTATAATATGAAAATACACTCTCTTAGGAGTCGCGTCATATGACCAGACCATCTCGTGTTTGGCCGAAGTGACCACTTTTATTGGGATATTTTTTATAATCAAGTCCAATATTTTACGAATAAGTATATTATATGACATACTAATAGAAAGGTGTTGATGAGTGGAATTCTGTAATCTTTACGGAAAAACAAGATTTCGAATTACTGTATAAAGTGAATCACTTTTTGGCACTTTACTGCATCTTGCTTTTTAGTGTTGCAATTGTATGTTAGATTTGGAACATGGTCGTTTAGTGACATTTGTTATTAATACAGTATGTGTCATTTCCAATTGATAATCCCTTATTTTGGACGTTAGAATGGATTGTGCCATATCTGCACACTATATCGGTCTGTCATTTAGCCAATTCATTATATTTAGGGAGTATTCCGTATCCAATATATAATTACAGTGTATTCTGTAATTACTCTTTGATGAAAGGGTTGGGACTTTTGGGATGTGTTGAACACTAGTGACAGACTTGTATTTTGAGGACATTTTTGATTGATTTGAATAAATGAAATGAAATTTCTAAAGACATGAACCTTACAGTTGAACCGATCGAAAATGGGCTGTCAATGCAATCAAGCAATTATGCTCATCACTGATGGCGCGCCAGAAACCTATGAGGATGTGTTTCGCGCCTATAACTGGCCTAATATACCCGTTCGGGTGTTTACTTACCTCATTGGACGTGAGGTAACCGATAGTCAGGAGGTGTATTGGATGGCATGTCATAATAGGGGTGCGCTCTCTCACTAAATGAAGCATTTTGTCATGTATTCTATCATTTAATAAATTATTTGTTTGTTTTAAGGCTATTACACACACGTCTCTAATTTAGCCGAAGTGCGAGAGCAGGTCCAGCAGTACGTGCCGGTTATGAGTCGACCCATTGTATTGTCCGGTGACCGTGTGTTTGCGTGGACACCAGTTTACGCACACGTATCTGTAAGTGCTATTTGTGTCGTGTAAACGATTGCATTAGAATATCTAATGAAATGCATTTTGAATAACATGTTAACTAAAATTAAACCATAAAATAACTTTTGTTTCGCGATATAACTTATGGTGTGTTTTGAAACGTAAAGGAAGTGCCTCTCGACGATTGGGTTTGGGAGGAAAGAGGTCTGTATTGAAGCCCTTATGACAACAGCTTAATGACTCGATTTTGCAATTTTTATAATAATATGCTTTTACTAACAGAAAAGGAAATTAAAAATAAATTATTACAACAAAGACCACTGAAACGCGATGTCGATAGTCATAGTCAGATACAAGAGAATATGCCTGAAAATGATGGCAAGCATTCAGATAATGACAATAACGAGGCCAGTGGTTCGGCTTCGGCTCCCATAGTATCTGATAGTCTAATGAACACCGAACCAGAATATCCTAAAAAACTTTATAAGCCTAAGAAAGTTAGTATTACTCATAAAATTGCTTCAAATTATTTGATTTAATTGTTTGATTTATTTATGTTTACATTTAAATGTTTAACGATTTTTTAGTTTGATTTTGCATTTATTGCATGAGTTTTTTGCATTTCGTATTTGTGTTGACGTTTAATGGATTTATTTAACATTATGTGCAATTTTGTCGTTTATTTGATGTACAGTACGTATAATTTACTTTATTATATAAATATTATCAAATAATTATAGTATTTTATTAGTATTGTTATTACTTATTAGTGAGAGAAACAAATAATTAATAAAATGGTTTTAATTGAATAGAATTTGCAATTAATGACAACTCTAGCGATGCCTGTCTTCGATACAAGAAATTATACGGTATTTAGTATATGAATCCGTTTTATGTATACATTCTTATCAATTATCTTCCATTTAGAACATAACCAAAAGAATTCTTGTTAAGAATGTCTATCAGGACTCAGAACCAGAAACTGTATGAAAAATATTCTATATTCTCTATGGTTTACAGTTTTAAGCATTGATATTATATTAGATACGAATTGCAAACTTATTGGGCGTCGCGGGAGTTGACGTCCCAATCAAAGAGATTGTTAAACTGACGCCCGCTTTCAAAGTATGCAATATTCGTTATTGGATTGAATTGTATTCATTAATAGAATGCATTTATAAATAGCTCGGTGTTAATGGATACTCATTTGTCACTACAAATAACGGATATCTCTTATACCATCCCGACCTCAGACCTATTGTAAGATTACGTTTTCATTTATTATACCTTAAAAGTGAAAAGTTTTAGCGGTTTCTTACAACTTGTTAGTTTAGCACAAGCTATATAAATGATTGTAAATGAATTGTGATTGCGTGCAGTTCCAGGATATGCTCAAACCTTACTATAGTTCGGTCGATGTGTCTGAAGTGGAATTAGCCGACAATACATTGGGCCCCCGGGTATGTCATCCATACGTTTATGTTGTCTATTAATTACTAACCATTTGATTGTTTTATTGGTTTAGATAATGGACGACAATATTAACGAAATTCGCGGAAATATGATTAACAGAACTGTCGGCTGGAAGAAAGTCAAAGTGAAAGTACACATGGATTTTGTGAGTCATTTATTTAAATCATTTACATATTTGTTATTTTAATGTTTATTATTGATTTAATTAGAAACGAGTTGTGACTCGCGTTAATCACTACATATACGGCAAAATCGATTTCACGCCCTTTAGTTTGGCTATTGTTTTGCCCGAACCGTACGGTTCTTATAGAGTTGAGGGTCAAATTGAGGTGAAAGTTAAACGTGATGAAAATTTTACTCATTATTTTCGTGGCAATAATTGGAGAGTACATCCCGACTGGGTATGCATTTACGCTCACTTATCATATTTTTATTTATTTATAACATTTATATGAATGTGTTTTTTATTGTGTTTAAGGTTTACTGCGATTCTCCGCACAAAATGTCGGCTATTTTGCCGAAATCACCCGAAGATGGGATCAATCAGTTTCTCAAGACTGTCACCAATGGTCAGAACTTCCGATGGAAGACCAGTAGTACAAGACCTCAAGTCTATGAAACGATTTCATGTATGAAAAACTAAATACATTTTCAAATAATATTACATTTTGGAAAATTGTTTAATATTTGTTTCATTAAAAGGCGATAAATATTTGACGCAAAGCTTAGTGTTTGACGCGAAAGCGACTGACATCGACGCTTCAAAGTGTGGTTCGCCTAACTTTTCCGCATCAAAAATAGAGTAAGAATTTAATTATTTTAATTTTTATTGAATTTCTAGAGGACTTATAAAGAATTTACAATAAATATTTCAAAATTATATTCAATTTGAAAATACAAACAAAAGCATAAATTAAGTTTAAAATATAATGAAAGTATTTATTTTGTGGCAATTTATTACACGAATAATTTAATTTACACCATCCGTACGGATAAACATTGTTTTAAAGGCAATAGTTTAACGCAACTAGTGTTCCCAGGTCAATATTTCAAATTCCTGGAGAAGTCCATTTTTGCGTCAATTTTTTCGTTCATTGAGATGTTATTAAAAATTATTGGAATTACTCCTTGATTCGTTAATTTAATCTATTAACAGTCCATAAATTATAATCTATATTGTATTACCGTCATATCCGTAATCAACTTTTAGAATAAGCAGTATCTGATAACTTTTAAAATGTGGAGTTAAACTCGGATAAACGTAAAGCAATATTACTGATCTGACAATAATTGTGCATCCTACTTAAATTGTATTAAAATGTTAGATTAAATTTTCATATTGCACCTAAAAATTGGTTGAGATCTCCATATGAAGGTTGGGTGACCCCCGCCTTCAAATTATGGCCACAACTTAATTTGTCGAGTTTGTGGCGACACTAAACGTAACACTGTGTTAGATTAGTACAGTATGTTCAATGTTGAAAAGTTATTAAAAGTTTTGAGCACATTTATCTGGTACAATATATTAATTGTGTATAATTTACTCATTTATGACAATTTTAGTTTAGTATCCATATATTAAATGAGTGGCAATTGGTGTCTAATTAGTATTAACTAATGTTTGATATAATCGATAAATTATAAACCATTTTGACGGTTATGTTTAGCCCACTGGCACTTCTACTGGCTCTGTATCCGAGGTAATCAATGATCTCGGTTGAGGTCGAGCTTTAATGAGCTTTAATGAGCGTACAATACAGTGGCGGCGATCGGGCACTTAGTAAATGCCCTTGCTCCCTGTGCTCTATATGTACTCTATATGTGCTCTCTGTTTGCTCTCTGTGCTCCCTCACGCCGATGGCATATAAAGTGTCTTATACTAAATGTTTTAATTTTGTTTTAATGGATATTAAGTTGTTTTTTGAAAGACATGTAATTAATTGAAATATTGATATAAATAGAGAGCAAAAACTGAAAATGTTTGGTATTGTGACCACATTTGTTGCCACTCGGAGTGGATTAACACGTTTTGAAGACCACAGAACCGATGAGGAGAAGAAGAACTCGTCGTCTGACACTCTACGGCCATTCTTCGACACTTATACCAAGTACTGTATTAACGACTCGTTTTTGTTACTTTAATTACCAACTTTTATATTAATCTATTTATTCCTATATTCAGAGCGACAGAAGAATTGTATTATCGAAGAGCCGTTGACTTTCATGCCGTCAACGACTCTGCGTTTGTATTCTCTGTCCCTTTCGACGCGAATCAACGCGAGGGCCAGTTATTAGTGACGGGAAGTCACGCCATATTTCTGGGCACCGGAAAGTCGAGCGCTCCGGGTATTGATTTGATTGACATTTTTACCCCAGATTTATATAATATTTGTGTTTTAGTGGCTGTCGTTGGCCTTCAGTTCAAGCACTCTGTATTTGTCGAGCGTTTTATTAATATAACGACTAAATACTCAAAAGTGATTTGTTCTGCAGAAGAAGTGGATTGTTATTTGTTAGACAACAACGGGTTTATAATTTACAGCGAAAATTTTGTGGATACGGGAAAATTCTTTGGAGAAGTAGACAATTCACTTATGGAGGCAATGGTAGCCAAGAATGTGTACCGTTCGGTCCATTTCTATGATTATCAGGCGATTTGTATAAAAATAATGACTCCTCAAAGCCACGGATCTATTCTAATGACTCCAATGAAACATTTCAAAACACTTATGTTTTGGATGTGGTCTCGAATTATGAGTCTTTATATTAGTATTGCATACAATTCATGGGTCGTCTCCTCACAGAGTGATTACCAAGAATATGATGATTACAACTCTGAATATGGAGGTATTGAAGCCATACTTTATTTGATAACATATTTAATTAGTTAATAATTAAATAGAAAACATGTTTAATTGTAAGCATTTATTGAAATGTTTGAATATTTGTGTTGTAGGGGAGGGCGAGAGGCGACAGAACAATAAGACCCGACCCTATCCTTGTGATAAGGAATTTGATTTGTATGAAATGGTTAGTCCTCTTTCCGAAGAGCCCATCAAAGGGGACGACAACTGTGGCGGAGAGGCCGGAGGTTGCGGCCGGTATGGCATATACTTAGCACAGGAATGTGTTGGACACGTGATAATTGTTAATGTGTTTGCAAACAGGGAGTTTACAGTGCAATCAGTGCCGTACACCAATCTGGTGATGGTTGTGGTGCACCGGACCTGTGCCTGCGTTATCTCTACGATTAAGTTCGAACCCAAAGAAGTAGTCTATAATTCCAGTCATACCTGTTATTTACTGAAGACCGAACTGCCTCGACGTCGACCCACAACATGTCATAACTATCACCCGCAGGTCTGTCCTCCCATTCCTCGCCATTTCTATCATTACATACTTTGAATGCAAACCATATTTACAGGAGAAAGAAGTGACGCAATGCGGCAGAGGATCCAAATTGTTTGTATCACTGATTCTTACGTTAATATGTTTGGTGAAGATTGTAATGGAGAACACGTGAAGACGTGAAACAATGATTTGATAACTTATCGGTTATATTATTCTTTTAATTCATCACTTATTACTCGCCCTTAAAAGTTATGTATATTTTTGAAGTCTTTTTTAATGAAAATGATGTGATTTTGAATCATATCTCTCATCAAAACAAATTCACATTAATTTGTTTGCGAAGAATATCACTGAATATGAGTTATGGACAAGAATTTGATTGAAACTATAATTTGATTGTAATTTAAAGCAATAAGTTTTGTAAAGCAAATCAATTCAAAGAGTCAATGCCTTCTTCTCATTGTGTTTCTCAATGACATTACATATCATTTGAATTGGTTTTAATAGTCGGGCGAAAATCGTATGTCATATTCAAGTGTATGAATGGCAGCAATGGTTTGTTTGCCATATCTTTAGTTTTATATCATATTAGGAGTAAATGTTTGGTTTCATAACAAACTAACGATTGTTGAGTTGGATTGAGAACAAAGATGTACTGCATTTGCATTTCGTCTTAAATCGCGCTTTTGTTTTATAAATACATGTTTTTATTATCCTTTTGTGAATATAATTCGTTGTATATATAATTGATTGCAAATTATTGTAAAAATTATTACAAATGTTTTTATTAAATAAAATATTACAAAATATTTGTTTTCAATTATTTCCTATTCATTTAATGCAATTTCTATTGTTTGCACTTTAAAACCATTTTAGACCAAACATTTAATTGTGCACTAATTGTGCACTAATTGTGCACTAATTGTGCACTACTGCTACTAATGTGCAACTTTGACCCGTACCCACACACCGGCAACTTTACTGTCGGTAGTGAACTCGATTGGCGGTCTGTGTTGGATGTGTCAGCATTTAACTACAATTGATGTCATACTTGATCTAAAGTTGAGTCTAAATTGAGTTGATGGCCAACATTGACGCCTCACTGCTTCTAACAGCTAACCCTGTGTTATGATAAGAGCAGAAGATATGGTGCAATAAAAACACCCAAATCTGCAAACGGGAGTAAAACAATCCAATTCGGGAATTATACTATAAATTATGTTTTAATCTAAACTGTTGGACAAATAATAGGGAATTCATTTAACTAAAAAATCACTTCAAACATGTCTCGTAAAAATATTATCCTAAATGTTTAAATTAAATGTTACTTCAAAAAATAGTCAAATAAATGTTGAATGGTACAGTTAAAGAACAGTTTTGTTAAGTAAAAAAATTTAGTATTTGGTTCACACAATTGATACTTTTTAACCACAATTCTTTTATTGAATTGAATTTATTGATTCTTATTAACGTAAATACAAACAACATAGCTGATTTGTTTTAAACTACAATAAATTATATTAAACTATTAAAAGAATTATAAAAATTTACGTAAATTAGTGACAATATATTTACAGTTAAAGTATTCGATATACGAATTCTAGAGTCTAAGCGATTTATGAAGAATGTGGTTTATAGGATGATGTGCTGCCCCTCCCCCACCCGATGGCATTTATAATGGAATTACAGCTTAAGTTTATGAGTGCACTTCAAATGGGGAGGATGTGCTTCCATAGGATAGCATTATATTGACATTCCTCTATGGGAGAAACTTTAACATGGGTTTCTATGGGATTACAGCCTAAGTCTATGACATAGGGTTAACATAGGCAATGCTAAGTTTATGAGTCATAGACTATGACATAAATGTACATGTAGGTTTAGCATGGGTAATGTTAAGTCTATGGCAATGCTAATTCTATGGGTAATGTTAAGTTTATGGGAGTAATGTTATTTCAATGGGATAATGCTTTTCCTACGGAGTTATATTAAACGAATCTGACAAATTAAATCAAACTAATTGTTGTCAAAAAACATTTAAAATTTTCAAAATAACAACATTTAAGTATTGTAACAAAAGTATTAAAATTTTTTAATTCTTTGATGCATTTTCCGAATTGTGGTTAACGCATAGCATCGCGTGTGATCCTTGTTTTAACATTATGTTAATCGGTGTTGGTTTTTGGTTAGGTTCATACAAATGGTTAGTTTACACAAATGCTACTACACTAGTGTTGCCAGATGCTCCCGGTTGTCCGGGAGTCTCCCGCAATCTGGGTCCGACTCCCGTCTCCCGGCAGGGATCTCACCATGATATGCGGAGCTCCCGGAATTGCATGATACATTGGAAATACATTGATACAATTTACACGTTTTGCTTGGAAACCTGCTATAAAGATGAATACTACAATTGAATCGTTTCATCTTACAAAGAGATAATTTTTTTAGTTACTCAATATAGTAAGTGTTAATAACCATTAAATTCCATGATTCAACGAAAAAAAGTTACCTCTTTTTAAAATGAAACCATTCAATTATTGAATTCACAATATTTGATTTGTCGAGAATCACATTGAGTATAGTAATTTAAGTGAATAATGTCACAAATCATGTAGATTTAAACGTTATTTCGAGGTTTGACTGATTATTTTGATAATTATTAGTTATTAATGACATTTTAGGACTATTTTGCCACTTCAAGGAAACAATCAAGGAATTATTTAGAAAATCTCAAGGAATCTCCCGGAAAATTTACTTAAAAAATGAATATATCAAGAAACTAGGGAAATGACCTGGCAACACTATACTGCACACAAACGGTCTAATACTGTACAGTATATTACAATAAACAGTTAAATTATTCATATGAAGTTTGACTCAAATACAAAACATAAGATAATTCATATATTATTTTCAATGTTTGTCAGTTATTATGGCTTTAAAAATACAATTAGTTATGTTATTATAGAATATTATAATATAATATATTCTTTAATTATTTAAACGCATAATTATTGCAATAGAAGACAATTAAAGGATAGTTCCCCAATTGTCCCTAATGTGCCTGTTTCACTCCCGATTCCCGATTGGATTTTAATGTTTTTACTTCGGAATAATGGAGTAAAAATGCTAACCGATAATTATAACTATTGATACAATTTTTATAAAACTTGGTATATAGTGCTATGAATGTGAACTTTATAATAAAACTAAATTCACAATTCTATCTAAAGAATTTACATGGGAAGTTAGGAATACCAATTTAGATTTTAATTTAAGCCAATACTAATGATGATACTTTTAGTGGTTATAAAAGTTGATATAAATAATTAATGTGCCATAACTATTGTATCAGTTGTTCATTGATGCTAAAAATAATTGACTAATTGCTAATTGAATAGAACAATACGTGGGTATTAACAGAATTTGATACTTTGTTTCTGCACCTGATTTGTATAAATAGATATTCATTACATCCGCGAGAATAGCGTCGACTCTATATAAAGCTATTATTCTATAAAATAGTTAATTCTATTACTCTTATTATTAGTCAGAATATTGTGTATTCTTTACTGAAACAAGTGTTTGAGTTAATAATCGAGTTACAAATCTTTTATTTAGTTATTACTTTCCTCACTCATGTAAGTATTTATGTTAAAATTAATTATAATTATAATCATTTTATTCAATAACATATTTGTAGTCATATTCTTTAAATTTAAAATTAAATTTTAAGTCATTGTATTTGAATAAAGTTTCCTAAAGTACAGTATATAAAGTATAATAATATTAAATTTACAATAATATTAAATTCAAAATTTTATGATTTGTAATTCAATGCCAATTAATTTGCTATTAGAATGGATTACAAGAGAAACCAATTGTCCATTTTATTCATTTGTTTGATTTCAATATCAAACTTAAAGTTTGCCAAACTTTCATGCATTGAAAATGATTGCGATATTCGTTCAAATTCGGAACAATCGGTCAAAAATAAAGACAAGTATTTTTGCCCTCAAATAGAATTTTTGAATTAAAAATTCTTTTCCAATAAAAGACATAATTTTCTAAAATATATGACAGGATTGAAAGCCAAGAAGATTTATCATTAATTGAATTAATGCCCACAAACTCGCAAATCAAACTAATCGGACAATTATCTGAGTTCCCATTTGAGCCCCGATTCCTCGCAAACACTCCATTGAAAACAAACTCAGAAATGAGTGATAATTCGTTGTCTTTGCTGCCAATGATTGAGAAGATGTCCAAAAATACTAAACAAAATTGGATCCAAAGATTGCGAGACTTTAAGAGAACGGAAGGCAACCGAAACTTTCAAACTCAAGGATGGAAATGATTTAACTCTTGTTTTGCAAACTATTATTATATTATAAAATAATATTGTTATCGATTTAAATCCAAAATCCATTAATAATCAAAAAATATTTGATTTTATAAATAATTAAAAACTTGTGATTAAGAAAAGCAAACATTAAAAATATAATCAATAAGTTTCCAAACGCTTTAAAAAAGTGTTATAAAAATTGAAGTTTTCTTCTAGTTTTCAAATTTTGTTCAAAATTTTTGTTTTAAAATT